TACTTCAAAAATAAGCTAACGTTTCAGTTAGTGAATGCCTATACAGTGTTTTGGGCCCTATAACAAAAAACTCCCCCCCAAAAGAAAAAAAAAATAAATAAAAGGATACATTAAAAAACTTCAAATAAACTCCTAAAGGGATATCCAGGAAAGCTAATTAAAATAGTTTGGATATTTTGGAAATAGCTTCCAAGCACTATAATGCCCTCTAACCTGTTGTCACGTTAGTACTTACCACAGATTCTATAGTTTCCTGGTATACAGTTATGGTATCCGTTTATACCACTGCTCCTGCAGCACTAACTCATCTTTTCAAATCTGACCCTGCATTGCTACAGATGAGTTTCTTCGTAGGAATCTATATTTAACTCAACTAAGTAGGAAGTTCAAAACTTTGGGGATAAAACCAAGACACATTAATGAAATGCAGAAGTTTTATCTTACTTTAATTTTTTCTCATTATTTAGATTTGTCTAAAACAACTGTAAAATGAGCTTCACTGCATCACACTAATCTCTACATCACAGACAATCCTGAAGCGGTCTTGATCACAACTTGTTAGGAAACTATGAATAGAGATGAAATAGAGTGAGGTAGAAAACTTTTCAAGTCCCTCTCAATCCTGAAATTTGATGATTCTATAAAATTATTCTCATTCTCTCCTTTCATAATAGGATATATATTTTTTAAAAATCTTCCTTTATCATAAAAATGATGTGACTTACTTCTTTCCATTTCATATAAAACCTAGTCGTTCTTTCCTGATGCATTATTCAACAATTCACAATTTGATTTCTTTCTCCTTATCTTTTAAGAATTTCCCCCTCAGTCATTTAAATTGTAACATCTACAATGAATCAATTGCATACAATTTTGGAAAAAATCTTAGAAAAGTAACAATAATTTTCTATGCTTAACCCAAACTACCATAAAAATCTGGAAACTATTCTTATTGAATAGATGAACTCGGGTTGTCCTGAATTACTTCACTTAAATTTTGAGATTAAAACATTTGTTTACTTCAAAAATAAGCTAACGTTTCAGTTAGTGAATGCCTATACAGTGTTTTGGAATGTTTTAGTGTAACAGGATATGAAAGATCAATGTCTAATTGAGTATCTTGTAACTCTTCTTTATTTATGGCTTGTTAGTTGTAATGATAATGCAATCACAACCCACAAATCTATGCTGTTGCGCTAAATTTTACATGATGACTTTGAAAAAAAGCAAAGTTATCAATTGATTTAGAACTTTTCTATGTGATATAAAATGTTTCCAAAGTTGTTTCCTCTGTGAAGGTAGAGGAGGATTTATACAAATATACTTTAAGTATGTAATCTTCAGTCTGATTTGTTTAATCTTTGAATACTTCCAGTAAATATGAAAAATCCCCAAACAGAACAAAAATAAGAACATTCTTTACTGTTTTATCATATTTTTATTTGCTTCACTTTTACAGGCTATATCCCTTTAATAAAACTGTGCCGCCACGTTTTCAAGTTTTTCAACAGTGGTATCACGAAAGTTCATCAAATGAGGAAGCTTTTTGATGATTATCAAACCTGTAGTTTGTTGGCCTAAAGATTATTAGGAATGGAGCGAAAGAGAGACGGAGACTGAGCGAGCTCATGAATGTCTGTACAATAGTTAAACAGAGATAAATACAAGTTGTAGAAGACCTTGGTAGGTAATACACAATCATAGATCACTATTTCTAGAGTTTGAAATACTCTTGGGTGAATACTACATTGTACAACAAACAGTATTTGAGCACTAGTTGAGTGATTCCTAAATTTTTCAAAAGATTTATTTCTCTAATTTAAACTACTGGAGTGAGTAAAATATATGCTAGACAAAAAAAAAAAAAAAAAAAAGCCTAGTTTGACTACTTCAATACCATTGATTTTCTCTGAAAAATGTCAGAAGAGTTACAGGAAACTTTTCGAAATATTGTGATGTCTTGACAACTTAAAAATATGTTCCAATCAGCAAAATAGACATTTAATTTTTGTTGAGCTGATAATTACGTCCTGTATGTTATTTTTATGGTTTCTGTGTATCTGTTATACCTCACCAATTTTTCCAGGACAGTACCTTATTTTCACAATAGATATGATGATTGATTAAATCCAAATTACGAGTCATTACAATTACCCCACAGTTTTACCTGGTTTGAAATATCTGTGTTAGCAGTACCTACTTTTAATACACCAACCCACTGTAATTTTTTTTTAAGAGTTTTTTTTTGCTATAGGGCACGTGCACTCGTCAGACAGAGAGAGAGAGAGATAGAAAGCGAGAAATCACCCCCCCCAAGGGGGGATGGTCACACCGCAATCCCTTCTCCTCCATTCTCCTCTCAGGATCCTGGGCACGCACTCACACGCGCCTGGCGTGAGTTTAAGCCACCGGGTCCAGGACTCAACTGCGGTCAACTACGTGGGAGTCCAGCAACATAGCCATTATGCTAACTGCTGGTCCCTCATTGTAATTGTTTATCTTCTGTAGCTCCACTCTATCATCAGGCTATACCCACATCTCCTTGGAGTCCTCTCATAAACAAATAACCTTGAAAAACAAATAAAATGCAAATCGTTCGAAAAAGCTAGAGATTCATCTATTTTAGGAATGATGGTGCCTGGTTTCTTTCAATGTAACTATGATAGCTTTCAGTCCTGAGGCTCAAGGGGCATGTGTGCGATTTCACAACTTGCCCACATAGAATGTGATGTACCCAGGAGTGATTCACCTCAAATTGTGCAAGTACCCGAAAAGGCCAGAAACGTCCCTGGGCCTCCTCAGTCCGCTGATGCAGTTTGGTTTACCCCGGATCTGACCGATTTGTTACATGGGTGAACCCCTTGGGCAACCTTTCCTAGATATACCTCTTTAAAATCCACATCCATGTCTTCATAGATGTAAAATTCACATGGAAGAATTTAATATCCTAGCAAATGCTGAAGAGTGGTTTGGAATTCATGCCAGTAGATCTGCAATGCTATATTTGAAAAAGAATGAGTTTTGCTATCATAGTAATTTTCTAACATTTTATGCTCCTGTAGATACTTTCTAATCTTAGTCATCTTTAAGAGCACTGAGTATGTCAAAGAACAAGTTAAAGCACTCACCATGTGATATATTTCAGAAACTTACACTTTGTGCATAACACCATTGTCAAACTGAATTTAGTTAATATATAAAATCTAAGAAATTAAAAAATTCCACAGACCACTTGTTCGAGGACCAACTCCATCCCCCTTCTCTCTTTTAATGAAGCTAGCATGGAGACAAGACTTGTATTACATACCTATAGTATGGATTCACAATGGTATAAATTATAAGTCATAGAAAATCCTTTAAATAAAAGCTAAAGTTAAATTTCCAGGCCTGTCTCTGAAAGGTTTGCATATATATAAGTTAAAAGAGAATACTGTTTTTTTTTTCTTTAACAAGGGGTGAGAGTTACTTTGGAAGTTTTTAAAAATAGAGTCAAGTTCATTTTACATGTCCAATGATAATATAGTTACACAACTTTGCTGGTCCTGGACAACCTATTGCTTTCACTTCAGGAAGGAATGGCCAGAGAGACAGAGATGCAGACTACCGTCTATTCAGTTTGAGAGTTAGTGGAAGACAGCTGGCCCTCTCTCCAAAACCACCCCCGATGAAAGAGATCTATTAAAAAGAACTGCGTTGGTTTACACTGCAGATTGAGTGGAACGTTAGGCTGCATTAGTATGACTGCAGTGGGGGTAATGGTCGCCAGTGTTGTAATAATACTTGCACATAGGTGCAGTAACAGCCCGAGTGTCCTTAGCTAATTTGCCACAAAGGGTTGGCATCAGGCTCTCTCCAGCACATGCCCCCACCCCCACTCCCTGTACCAGACAATTCTCCTTGCCCTTTCAGCATGTGTAAACAGATGAGGAAATGCGTGTACTTTCCCGTGGTCACCTATGTACCACGAAGGTGGGGGATTACTGCAAATCCCTTGCAAACGTCTCCCCGGAGGCGGTGAGCGAGACCGCCCACCGATACAGCTCAGAGGTGCTTCACTTGATCACCCCTCCCCCCCGCACCCCGTTTTGGTCTGTAATTTTCCAAACGTCCCTCTCTCATTTGCAAATAAAAGTTAAAATCAATCCACAGATGCAGAATGCTGACTTCCTGACACTCAATGTGACAAGGCTTCTCTTTGTAGAGCTGCCAGATTGTGACCGATAAAGGAGAGAGGGAGAGGGAGAGAGGGAGAGAGAGGGAGAGATCACTTGCTTCCTCGCTTCCTAAGCAGGGATTTGCCTGCGATGCGCGGCGAGAGGGCTGCGGCGGCTGATTTACACAGTTGGCGCGGAGGAGGGGCCGGGGGTGCGGGGGGGACGAGCTGGCGGAGGCTCCGGCGATGGGCTGATCTGGGGGCTCCCGAGCGCCGCTCCCTCGGTGCACGATTTGGGGGCGGCTGATGGATTTGCATTCGGGTTCCAGCCCTGCGTTGCCTACATCGCCTCCTAATACCCGACCCGGCTCTCGCAGTTTCGGAGCGGACGTGGGTAAGTAACGTGTAATCCGATTTTCGTTCTTTCCTAGGCCATTCAAGTGGCACTTTTAAAGCAGGTCAGTCTTAAAAGATGCCGCCGCCGTGGCCGCGGCGAGCGTCTCCTTCTTGGCCTGAAACGTTCGGCGGTCCCCTCCCCCGCCCCGTCTTCTCCCGCTCGAGAAGTGAGGGTGCCTGAATGGGGAGCTGTCAGGGGCTCCCTCTGCCCACGGGATCGCTTCCCCTCCGCGCTGCGCCCGCGATCCCCAGATCCGAGCGGAATCTGGTGTGTACAGCCATGCCGCCGCGTCTGTGCCGTCTCCCCCTCGGTCTTTCTCTCTCCCTCTCTCTCCTTCTCCCTCCCTCCCCTCCTTCCCGGCCTGACCAATGCTGGGATCTGGGATCTAGTCGCCCCCTTCCTGCCTCCTTTCTCGCTTCTCCCACCCTTTTCTTCTCTCATCTACTGAGTGACAACCTTTCAGGAAGAGAGAAAGAGCGAAATCCGGACACCGAGCCCGGGCTCCTAGGAACCGCGGAGCTCGCCCCACCATCGACCGCCCCGAGATTTGAAATCCAATGAACCCAGTCCTGGGACACGCACGCTGCCCGGCTGCCATCGAGGGCGCCCGGAGCTGTGGTCGTGAGCTGGCTGTCACTGACACCGCCGCGCTAGGTGCGCGCCCGGCTCTGCCATTGGTATGCAGCGACCATTTCCTTGCAAGTCTCCGAGGTGGAAACATTGAAAAGGATTACAAGCGTGATTCGGTAGCCTGGCTGAAAGTTAGTGGCTGGAAGAGGTGAAGCCGCCAGGCTGCCGGAGGATGGATACAATTCAGCCGCCCAGAGAGTTTGCCCCTCCCGCCGGGAAGCCCCTCGGAGCAAACCTAGGAGATTGTGAGCGCTCGGCACCGATAGGTACTCGTCGCCATCGTTTCCTACTCCGCCTGATTGAAATCAGCGTTTTCTAGCCGCTAGATGTGCGTGGCGAAGCACGTTGAGTTTGGCCGCGGTAGCTTTCTGTACGCTCACAGGTGCTCGGGGGTTTGTTGCATTTTTGAATTGGATCAATTAGGTATTAGGACGACGGTGGAAGGAGGGTACTGGACAGTGATACACCCTCGAACCCCTTTTCTGTGGGGGAGGAAATCGTAAGTAACTCCATCAAATAGGCCAGGTGGCAGAGGGAAGGACCCCTCCCCCCAGTGGATCGCTGGCTTGCGTTGGAAGACAGAGAAGGGAAGCGATTTGAGCTTTTAATCATTTTCCATTTCTAAACAGGACTCACTGTGCATTTCGCCTGGCGACAGGAGATTAGAAAAGGATCTATAGAAGGCTCAAAGCTCTTTAGAAAATGAATGATGCAGCATTTTAATTATTTGTTCTAGGGGAGATCATTTTGCTTCCATATTGGAATATTTAATCTTAGATCTGGAAGGATTAGCCGGCTGAAAGATTCAGCATTGGGGAGGGGGGGGGTGAGAAGGGGACACAGTAGGGAGAAAGGGCTTCTTGTCCTCCCTCTGGACAGACAAATGGTGCTGGGTCCTCCCAGCAAGACACACAAGACAGGGGGCCCCCAGAGCCCTCCATTCCTAACTTTCCGAACCTTCCCTATCCCTTAGACATGCTACCCAGAGATGCAGGCAAAGGGAAAGGGTGAAATTGCCTTTAAGACTTGGCCCAAGGCCAGGACCGAGGGGGCTGTGATTCAAGAGAGAGCAGACTGATGCAGAGAGGACCATTTGCTGGCCCTGGAGGTTCAGGACAGCCTCCGGGTTTCCCATCGATTCCATCACATCATGGGTTCTGATAAGGTCTGCGAGCTAGCCACCGCCTCTGCACACCGGGTACCCAAGGTGATGGCGGGGAGAAGGATGGTGGCAGCTGGGGAAGAAGACAGATTCGCTCTGGTTCTTGGGTTCAGGCTATCCTCAGTGCTTTTTGCTTTGTGCCTCAGACCTGCTGAGAAATGGGTGGGTCTGGATTATTAGGGGTGTAAAATGTTAGAGAAGCTTGACTGCCTGCTTAGTCTCTGCTCCTCCTGTCCAATTTTAGGGACTGGGGGACAGGGAGGTTTGTCCGGTTACTTTAAATGCACACTATCATGCAAATTGCCTTCGACTGACATTTAAGGAAGGAGTTGGGTGATTTTTACACTCCAGTGCGGTCAGATCTTCATACAAAAGCTGTGCTTTTCTTTACATTTTGATTTTATAAAGAGCGTTTTAAGAGAAAGTCATTTCCACCTAACTTTGAGCCCTTGGGCAACTGGGGTTCAGTTAGTTCTTTAGCAACCGGAAAGCCCCTCCCCTTTCCCCTCCCCAAGAGTTGGTGTCAGGATTGGTGTGCGTGCTGGGAGGGGGGGTGCATCCATGGCACACAGTTCCCACTAATTAGACTCTTTGCTGCACACTCGGCTAGCCCTAGTTCCCCACTAAGCTGGTTTTCTCCCGGTGGGAGGGACTGGGAGGGCTCACGTGAATTATGATCTGTTGGCCTCTCCCCTCTGCAACGTCTACTTCATCACCCCCACCCCCACTACTCTCCAGCATCCTTACCTGAAAATATTATGAAATAATATCTGGATTTCAAAAACAAAGTGGGGGAAAAAAGGAAAGAAAGAAAGAGGACGAAGGGAGCGAGGAGGGAAGAAGAGAGAGCTCGTCCAAACCCTGAAATTCTGCCCCCTGTCCCAAAGAGGTCTTTTCAATTGGAAGAATGTGAAATGAATCATTGTGACCCAAGTGGGCTTTCCGAGCATTGGCTGGTCTGTGTTGGAAAAGATGGAAGAAAATACATGGTTGTGGAATCCAGAGGATCGAGGCTTAGAGCTGCAGCACAGGAGTCCTGGTGCAAAGGGATCCAAGCAAGATGCAGGAGAAACTCGTCCAAGTCGCTCGGGCTGCCTGAGCTCCTCCTCAGGACACCCAGGCCCAGTCAGCCAGGTTCAGCTCTTGGGCGCTGGGCCCTGGATTTCCCCCTCTTCCTGTTCTCTGTACGAAATGTACCTGTGCTGGGAAAAGAGAATGATTCGGAGGGATAGTTCCACTTTTCAGACCTCTGTCCTGGAGAGAGGAGCTGGGGACGCAGGGGAGTAACCCCTACAGGGGGTTATTTCCTTGAGAGTTAGAGTAAGACAAACAAACGAAGAAGAAGAAGAATGATGAAATAAAGAGAAGAAAAGGAGAGAGAGAGAGAGAGGGAGAGAGAGAGAGAAAGTGATTAAGCAACTCACCAAGTCTGGAACTCGAACCACAGTCAGCCATGTGGAAAGGAATGTTTCCTGTGGGTTGTTCTCCCCCCACCCCACCCCCGTTTCTTATTTTGTCAGTTCGTCACTTAGACCCCTCTATTCCTTTTCCTTCTCCTAAACACACACACGCACACACACGCACACACGCACACACGCACACGAGTATCTGTAGATTCAGGGCTTCCTAGTGCTCGCTCCCGACCCTATGCTAAGCGCGTTCGCCTTCTTGGAGCTCATTTTCATGATGTGGAAAGCCGGATCCAGGGTTACAACACATATTAAAAAAATTAAATAAATAAGAAAAAGAAAAAGAAAACCAGTGCGCGAGAAGTCCGAGACTGCCCTTCCCGAGCTTTCCCCCCTCCCGCCTCCTCGCAGTTAGTGCCCAGCGATGCCGCTGGTACCCGGAGAGAGCCGCGGAGCCCAGAGCCTGCGGCAGCCCCTTCTCCCAGCTCCGCCGAGTGTGCCAACCGACAGCTTTGCACCTTAAAGCAGCCCATTGAAGAGCCCATTGCATTCCCAGCACGTCTCCAGCTTGCTGCCTTTTTTTTTTAGCCCCCCTCTGCCCCCACCTCTCACCACTTTTATCCCCTTTTCCTCCAGCTTCAGCTTCAGCAAGAGGCAGGGAGGAGGGCCAGGGAGAAGAGAGAAAGAATACTTACACTCAAGCTTTTTTTTTTTTTTAATTTTTCTTTTTAATGTCCAATGTTTAAAAAAAAAATCCCTGCAAAATAGGTAAGTCAGAGACATGGGGAGCCATCGTTGGCTAACCCTGAGGGATGTGAAAACATTGAAGTAAAGAACGGTGAAGAAGAGAGAACTTAAGTGGATTTTCACATTTTATCAGGGAGCCGGGGACTAGCTGGTACTGCAATGTAGCCTCCTCTGCCTTCTCTCTCTCTCTCCCCATCTTGCATTTAATTGTTTCTAAAAATTGAGTATTGCACGCCCGAGGCAGATTCCGCTCTGCTTTCTCACGGTTTGTCCTTCCCTTACAGCTGTGTACATTAAATACAAGTGGAATGGGAAGATTTAGTATTTCTAGTTTCCCTATGAATGATATCATTGTGTTTTAAGTTAGAGGGTGGGTGAAATATTGCATATTTCCTTGATGTATGCACCTATCTATGGGAAGAAAATATATGCTAGAAAACTCTAGTGTGTTTTTATTGATTCAAACCAGCCATTCCACTTTGATTGATTGTTTCCCTGACTTGGGAGGAACAATCTAACAAAACTGCATTCTTATAATTTATTTATATATACTGATGCTATTAGGTAAGGAAAGAGCCCTACAGGAAGGTTCTGTGTGTTATTCCAATAGCAAGCTGCTTTTTTTATTTTCTGATTGGAAATAATATATATTTTGAAATAGATTTCATGTGATAGATCATTTATCAGCAGGTAGGAGTCAAGGTTCTCACCCTCCCTTGCCTTTAACTACCTACCTCACCTCTAACCAGCCACCTTCATTTCTAGCTTTTTTTTTTTTTTTTTTTTTTAGGGGTTTTTGCTATAGGGCGCGTGCGCTTGCCAGAAAGACAGAGAGAGACAGAGAGACAGAAAGCAAGAAATCGACCCCCAGGGGGAATGACGACGCTGCAATTCTGTCTCCTCCATTCTCCTCTCGGAATCTTGGGCATGCACGCGCATGCACCCGGCTTGAGTTTAAGCCACTGGGTCTGGGACTCGAACCGCGGTTGACAACATGGGAGTTCAGTGACATAGCCATTATGCTAACTGCTGGTCCCCAGTTCTAGCTTTTTAATAGAGTTCCTCAGTTGTTCTTGAAGACACAGATACACCTTCCAAACTAAGCTCTGTAAATGTTTTAATTCAGACACTCCCAAGCTCAGCTCCCTTTAGCTGTCACTATCTTTAGCTCTGACAATTACATGGGTATGTTCTGTACAAGGACCAATGACTCCTATTTAAAATCGCTAAAGTGATACACGTATGTAGATGATATTTATTTAATTGCCAGAGATATCAATACTCCGTGCTTGGGCAGAAGTAAGGATGAGGTGTAGTATGCGCCTGACCATACATTGTAATTAAGCATGTTGTCATCATTTCTAAAAGAAATCTGAAGTTCTCTTGAAATGCCAATCAACTTACATATTCTAACATCTGATATTGGGCTGGTTATCATACCTTGTAAAATTCTAACTTTGGGATATATCATGTCTTTTTACCAGTAGAAACCTATAATTTGAAGAGCAACTTTTTTTTTTTTCCTTCAGAGTCTCAATCCCCATTTATCATGGCCTTCCAATATCAACGTGTGTTTTAACAGGCAATCAAGTGTAATGGCTGAAGGGGTGACATTAGTGCAGAGTCAGCCTATGTCTGTGTACCAGTTCAGTTGTTTGCTGTAGGAGGCCATGCAGGCTGCTTTTGTCCCTGTGATCTGCCATTTACCAAGCATCGCTCGGTTCAGAAAAATGTCCGTGCACAGCCCTAAGTGTAACCCAGAGAACTCACTCTGAACATTCCGTCTGTTGCCAGTTCATGTTGCATGTCAGGTCAGTGATGCTGAAGTTTCTCTATCGCTCTCTGCAAGCCCCACATGTAGGAGTCAATTAAAACAGTACATATGACTAAAGCTAAAAATCTGCATCTTTATTTCTGTTGCAGTTTTGTAATCAGCCACGAATGATGAAACCTTCCATAGCTGAGATGCTCCACAGAGGGAGGATGCTGTGGATCATTCTTCTAAGCACACTTGCTCTAGGATGGACTACCCCAATCCCCCTGATAGAGGACTCAGAGGAAATAGATGAGCCCTGTTTTGATCCATGCTACTGTGAAGTTAAAGAAAGCCTCTTTCATATACATTGTGACAGTAAAGGATTTACAAATATTAGTCAGATTACTGAGTTCTGGTCAAGACCTTTTAAACTATATCTACAGAGGAATTCAATGAGGAAATTATACACCAACAGTTTTCTTCATTTGAATAACGCCGTGTCTATTAACCTTGGGAACAATGCATTGCAGGACATTCAAACTGGAGCTTTCAATGGTCTTAAGATTTTAAAGAGGCTCTATCTTCATGAAAACAAACTAGATGTCTTCAGGAATGATACCTTCCTCGGCTTGGAAAGTCTGGAATATCTGCAGGCAGATTACAATGTCATTAAACGTATCGAGAGTGGGGCATTTCGGAACCTAAGTAAATTGAGGGTCCTGATCTTAAATGACAATCTCATTCCCATGTTGCCAACTAATTTATTTAAGGCTGTCTCTTTAACTCATTTGGACCTCCGTGGAAACAGGTTAAAGGTTCTCTTTTACCGAGGAATGCTGGATCACATTGGCAGAAGCCTGATGGAGCTCCAGCTGGAAGAAAATCCCTGGAACTGTACGTGCGAGATTGTACAACTGAAGAGTTGGCTGGAACGCATCCCTTACACGGCCCTGGTGGGAGACATCACCTGTGAGACCCCTTTCCATTTCCATGGGAAGGACCTGCGGGAAATCAAGAAGACAGAACTCTGTCCTTTATTGTCTGACTCTGAGGTGGAGGCTAGTTTGGGGATTCCCCATTTGTCATCCAGCAAGGAGAATGCATGGCCAACTAAGCCTTCCTCAATGTTGTCTTCTGTCCACTTCACTGCTTCTTCTGTTGAATACAAGTCTTCGAACAAACAGCCTAAACCCACCAAGCAGCCGCGAACGCCAAGGCCACCCTCCACATCCCAAGCTTTATACCCTGGTCCCAACCAACCTCCCATCGCTCCTTATCAGACCAGACCACCAATTCCCATTATATGCCCTACTGGGTGTACCTGTAATTTGCATATCAATGACCTTGGCTTGACTGTCAACTGCAAAGAGAGAGGATTTAATAACATTTCTGAACTTCTTCCAAGGCCACTGAATGCCAAGAAACTGTACCTGAGTAGCAATCTGATTCAGAAAATTTACCGTTCTGATTTTTGGAATTTTTCTTCCTTGGACCTCTTGCATCTGGGGAACAATCGTATTTCTTATGTCCAGGATGGGGCCTTCATCAACCTCCCCAACCTTAAGAGCTTGTTTCTCAATGGCAATGACATCGAGAAGCTGACCCCAGGCATGTTCCGAGGCCTCCAGAGTCTGCACTACTTGTACTTTGAATTCAATGTCATCCGGGAAATCCAGCCTGCAGCCTTCAGCCTCATGCCCAACTTGAAGCTGCTGTTCCTCAACAATAACTTGCTGAGGACCCTGCCAACGGATGCCTTCGCAGGCACGTCCCTTGCCCGGCTCAACTTGAGAAAAAACTACTTTCTCTACCTTCCTGTGGCTGGTGTGCTGGAACACTTGAATGCCATCGTCCAGATAGACCTCAATGAGAACCCTTGGGACTGCACGTGTGACCTGGTCCCCTTTAAACAGTGGATCGAAACCATTAGCTCCGTCAGCGTGGTAGGGGATGTGCTTTGCAGGAGCCCCGAGAACCTCACCCACCGGGATGTGCGCACTATTGAGCTGGAAGTCCTCTGCCCAGAGATGCTGCACGTGGCACCAGCTGGAGCATCCCCAGCCCAGCCTGGAGATTCTCACCTCGTCGGAGGGCCAACAAGCGCCTCCCCCTACGAGTTCTCACCTCCTGGGGGTCCTGTGCCACTCTCGGTGTTGATCCTCAGCCTGCTGGTTCTGTTCTTCTCCGCAGTCTTTGTTGCTGCAGGCCTCTTCGCCTATGTGCTCCGACGGCGTCGGAAGAAGCTGCCCTTTCGAAGCAAGAGGCAAGAAGGCGTGGACCTTACTGGCATCCAGATGCAATGCCACCGGCTGTTTGAAGATGGTGCAGGTGGTGGCAATGGCAATGGTGGTGGAGGCAGACCAACCCTTTCCTCCCCGGAGAAGGCCCCACCTGTGGGTCACGTGTATGAGTACATCCCCCACCCCGTTACCCAGATGTGCAACAACCCCATCTACAAGCCTCGTGAAGAGGAGGAGGTGGCTGTCTCCTCTGTCCAGGAAGGAGGGGGTGCAGAACGTGGGGGTCCTGGGACGCAGCCCCCAGGAATGGGTGAGGTTCTCCTAGGGAGCGAGCAGTTTGCTGAGACACCCAAGGAGAACCACAGCAACTACCGGACCTTGCTGGAAAAAGAGAAGGAGTGGGCCCTGGCGGTGTCCAGCTCCCAGCTCAACACCATAGTGACGGTGAATCACCATCACCCCCACCCGCACCACCCGGCAGCTGGTGGGGTTTCCGGGGGAGTTGGGGGCACTGGGGGAGACTTGGCTGGGTTTCGCCACCATGAGAAGAATGGTGGGGTGGTGCTGTTTCCTCCCGGGGGAGGCTGTGGAGGTGGCAGTATGCTACTAGACCGGGAGAGGCCACAGCCCGCCCCCTGCACAGTGGGATTTGTGGACTGTCTCTATGGAACAGTGCCCAAATTAAAGGAACTGCACGTCCATCCTCCTGGCATGCAATACCCAGACTTACAGCAGGATGCCAGGCTCAAAGAAACCCTTCTCTTCTCGGCTGGAAAGGGCTTCACAGACCACCAAACCCAAAAAAGTGATTACCTCGAGTTAAGGGCCAAACTTCAAACCAAGCCGGATTACCTCGAAGTCCTGGAGAAGACCACATATAGATTCTAACAGAAAGAAGAAAATAAATTAGTGGGTTTTTTTGTTCCCCAAAAGAAAAGGAAAAATAAAAGAAATATATCCCTGCTCCCTTCACACTTGTCCCAGTAACTCCATCCTGATGACCTTCCCCGCCCTACACAGAACTGAAACCGCATGATAACTAGAAAATACAGATGTGTGCCCTTCCCCTCTCAGATGTGATCTGGAGGAAGGGCCATACTCAGATCATTAATCAATGAAGTGCCTTCGCAGACTTTTGCCAGCAAATGTTATCATTATTTTTTTATACTGAACCTTGAGACTTTGACTGTGCCATGTATAAGGTATATTGGGGATCGTTGTATTGATCCTAATTAAGTAAAATTCAATGTGTCTTTTTATTTTCAGTAACTTTTTTGGGGGTATAGTTCTGTTTGACAGGGAGGGGGGGAAACAAGTTGACATTTGTGGCTTTCTTTCCTCTTCCCATCATGGCACGGATTCTGTACATGTATTAACAATGCAGTTTGCTGCATGCCTGGAAACTGCAAGACGGGGAGGGAGGGGGCGGGTCTTGCTCGAATGTTCTCACTCACTCTGTCTCTCACACACGTACCCATATGCAAAACCCAAGTCTCTGCACACAGTTAGGTCCCTAAACCTTCAGCCTCTTCCCACTGATGCAGGTACATGCTCATACACTCCCCCGCACACACACACACCACTACCTTCAACCCAGCCTGCCTAGTTTGGGTTGGAACTGTCCGTCTCCTCTCCATAGCGCCACCTGTCCTCCATCCCTGGTGTACAGCGCGCAGCGTCTCTCCTGCCACCCTGAGAGAAGTCACATTCTTGGCTGGATCCTACCGAAGTGGAGGCCTGGTGGTTTAACAGCTGGAGACACACACCTAGGGAGGAGCATCCTCTTGGTGACACTTCACCCCGATGCCAAGATTTTTTGGAGAACATCTGCACTTTCTTATATATATATATATATATAAATATAAATATAAATATATACTATTAAAAAAATAAAAAAAGCAACTGGGTATATATCACTAACCGCTTTGTAGGAAGCACTTTTAATGTTTTCTCTCACACACAAAGATTCAAAAGAAATGTGCATATATTTATTCTGTAATTTCAGTGATTATAAATTGTAAAGGTAATGTTTAATCATTGTACAGTGATTATGCGTCTGGTATAGCTTTCCTAATAAAACGTTTTTGAAAAACATAATACATTATATATAGAAGATACAAAGCTTGAACCTTAAATTCCAGCTATGCCATGCCTTTTCTGCTCCCATTTTTTAGAAAATGATTTCTTTTATTTGTAATACAGACAGCTAATTTATGAACAGGCTTGATGCACTGTGATGTTGACAAATCTTCTAACTCGCCACCCCCATCCCATCCGAGGATACTGAATATTGAGAATTAACAAACATGATTTACCGTTCATATCTTTGTCTTGGATTATGAAATTTCCTTCTTAGTATCCCAACGATGGACCATTTGTTAGACAGGCTGCAACAGGGAGAAAATAAGATAACGAGATTGCTAAGAAGTACGGAATTGATTAAGAGAAAATAAGAAAAGATCCATGCATCTTAAGATAGTAAGTGACCTAAAGGAAAAGTAAAATTGCTTTTCTTTTAAAAATATGCACTGAAACTACACATGACCACACACTCAACCTCCCAGCACACGCACACCCCCGCATCGCCCACCTGGAATTAAAGGTCTTGGAGCCAGTTTGACTGTCAGAATGCTGTGGTCTGTAGAAGATGTCATAGTATATTTGGCTACTGTTTTTGTTATAACCATTTACAGGAACCGGCCCTAGTAATGCTTGAACTAAGACAAAAGACGCAAAATGAGTTTTTCTTTCTGTACGACATTAAAATAATGTGTAACAATTAACCTGACAATACTACAATTTATGATCCACTTATATGTGACCGAAACCAAAGAAAATTGGATATTTAAGGTGCCATTACCTTGTTTGTGGAGGAAACTGACGAATAGGAACCGGCGAGCTTTAAGGAAGGCACTTATTTCACTAGGCCAGTAGAGGGCAGCAGAGATCCAGAGACCCACAGACTCAGCAAGTTGCAGGAACGTGTGTGAGTCTGGGGTTCTCTGTTAGTGTTTCCTCAAGCTGTCTTTAGTAGAGATTATCATTATATGTTGAATGTAAAATTCATCACCAATCACTGATGCCTTACATCACTTTTATTCCACAGAAAAACCCCGAAACTTACAGCTTCTAATGCTGTGTGGCTGATAGAAGACTGAAGCACTGTACTTAACTAAATGGCCCACTGAATGCCTAGAACATGTTTATATAAGTCTTGATGAAGTACATATAATTATCCACATAGGTATGCATACAAATAGAAAACACAAGTATATCAATATAAAAGTGCAAACTGTCAGGGCTACTTTGCATTTGACATACTGTTTTACTTTTGTCCTCAATTACATTAAATCTATTTTGGCATATTTTAGGGGAAAAAAAGCCCACAAATTTATTATCTCTTTATGTACAATACTGAAATGGAAATCTTATTCAAGATTGTATGGCCCACTGTTAAATAGGCATCGTTCTTTTTGCTTGTTTTCTTTTCTCTCCCTGTTTTTTTCTTTTTTTTTAACATGACCATAGTCTTTTTTTCTAGTTATCTCATTTTCCTTATTCTTTCCAATAATTTCTCTGTCCTTCACCAAATTCTTTTTACTTTTAAAGCCAAGAAAGCCAGTACTACTCCTTAAGTATTTTACAACCTGATGTTTGGATTCCTTCTAAAAAAGGATTAATTATACTTCCATTCTTTCCAATCAAATGTTGTATTTTGGAGAGTAAAATGCATTTGCATAGTGAAAGCAAAAAACGCAAAACTAGATATTTCTGATAGTGGTAATCAGTCCTTAATAACCATGCATATATTCATAACATGGTATATTATACAAATCAGGTTAAAGAACAATTTCTAAAGACCCTGGTGCTTTTGACATTTAAGAAATGAGTGCCCATAAACCATATCAAATTACAATATAAGTCAATAATTATATAGTTCTATTTTATTTATTGAACACAGAAAGACTATCTTAAAGATAGTAATTTCCCCCTTGAATAAGGAATACATTTATTTATTTTGTAAAAATAAATTTATATGAGAATGGGGTTTTGTATTCAAGAGGATATTTTTTTTGTTTCCATGGAGTTTTCTATCCCCTGGCTAGGTTTTTTATTTTAGCTGTGCATTGAAATTACTTGTTAGCTTTAATTTATAATACTAAGTATGTTTTCATAAAACAACCTTGATATTAATATAGGTACTATCATTAGGATCTATTTTAATTGCCGCAGTAAAATATCTATTTTTAAGAAAAATCTCTCTAATTTACTTCACAGTGATGGTCACCTTGGTGGAAGCAGACCCAGATCTGACAGAGATTTACTATTGTTCATTGCTACTTTTATTACTAATTATAGTAGTAATATTTGAAAATTGTAGACATATGGCAATGTCCCTTAAACTATGAGCCAGTAGAAAAAAATTGAAAATTAACTGTTAGATTAATCCAATACTAATTTTAACATGTTATATATATCATATATACTATTATTTAGGTGAATGCCTCTATATTTTTATTTAGAAACTTTATCATTTCCCCTAATGGCAAAATACATTTAAAAATAAGCATGGTAAAAAGTATTTTTAATAAAAGTTGAGCAAGAGAGAATCACAAGGAAGAGTTTAATGACTATGCTTGAAAGGCTGTTTTTTATTTTTTCTTACCTGAGAATGTTAGTTTCAAATTCTTGATTTCTGAGAAGAACACTATTTGTGTTTAGAATTGTGACAATTAGGAATACAATTTTAGAACAAAAGAGCTTTTCTTTAACTATTATTTTGATTCATTTAGTGTAAACTTATTCGTTGTATCATCCTGTCCTTTGGCAATTATGTTGTCTCAACCAATGAATGTCACACTTTTTTGGAATGGCAGTGACAAAGGAAACATCAGTGAAATGCTTCACAGACATGAGCCATATGACTATCAGAAGTCAAGATAATGTGAGGGGAAATGGTACTACAAGGACCCTGTATTTTAAGTGATCTGAGCTACTTTCCTTTGAACTTAGACATAAATAACTTATTCTTAGCTCAAAATGCTCAACTGTGAAAATTCAGGGGAACAGAACAGAAGTAAGTATCACTCAATTCATCACGTAAGTGTTCTGCTTAATATACTATAGGCCTTTCAAAAGTAATAGGAGCAATAACACATGTATAATTGGGCAATCACGTGTGCATACATATATTATAGCACTATCATATATGTATATACGTTGTATATACATGTATATTGTTTATATATGGTGAATTACACTTATATGTAAATTATGCAGTTTTTTCTTACGTGTATAACCATTTCAGTTTTATGCGTTTATTTTTCTTGCTTCTGTCTAGCCACCACCCAAGTGAAGCTGGATGAAATTATGAATCTTCACTTTGGGAATATTCACATGTAAAAAGTAACACTGTACAATATTTCTGAATTTAAAAGTTCTTTTATCTTCCAATTTGCTTCATTTTGTTATTTAAGTCTTAGGGGATAAATCTGAATCAAACTGTGATCTCTTTTAAGTTAAGGCCTCATAGTAAAGGGATGAATTTCATATAATTATTTAACATAAGGCAAATGAAAAACAAGTGCTTATTTTTTCATTTTTTTTTCTATTTCTAGAATGCATTTTGGAGATAAAGACAATTTTAGTAGCTTTATTAATTAGTTTTATTATTTACTAATTAATTTGTAATTTATCTAGGTATGTAAAAGTAAAAATCTTGAGGATAAAATATAGAAGAAGTGAAAGACCAGTTTAAGATAGTCACCATCCTCTTTTCCTTCTTATTAACATCATCCTTGATTTAAAATGTTTAATAATAGTAGTAATGATAGAGATGATCGTTATCAGTATGCTGATATAAAATCTGAATTGAACAGACAGATTTTTTTCATACCAAGAAAGCAAGTGCACACCAGGGATTTGGTAACATTTGCCCCTGAGAACAATATACATGTATTTTTAAAATTATTTTATTTAACTTTATTTATTATTATCATCATTATTATTTTCTAGTTTGATCAGAGAGAGACAGAGAGAGAGAGAAAGAGAGAGAGAGAGAGAGGAAGTGAGATAGCAAGCCACCAGGTCTGAGACTTGAACTGTGGTCGGCCATGTGGGAGTCCAGCGCCTTTAACCACCATGCCACTTGACGGCCCCATACTTTTTTTTTTTTTTTTTTTTTTTTAGAAAAAAAAAAAGAGTACTCTTTCCTTTCTACTGCACTTATTAGATAATTTTCCACACAGTTTTTAAAATTCTAGTAAAAAATAATACTTGCAGTACATTTCAAAATTAGACAACCAAAAAAAAAATACATAGATAGCCACAGAGGGATTATATTAGGTCATCGAGAAAGTCATGACGTATTTTCCTATATTTTTCTATGTAAAGATATGTCATGACCTTTCTGATGACTCAATACTAAATTTAAGGATGATCCAAATCCTGTAACATCTTTAAACATTAAAATACCATGAACATTAATACAAGGAAGGCTTTCTTTATGGCCACTCAGTAACAGAAAGGCCCGACATCCCTAGTGGAAAGTTTCTTTAGTGTATTTAGCTTCTCTACTCCTTTATATGGTGAGTAATACAGTGAATTGGTCAATTGCATTGTATTAAATTGTAATCACAATGCAATTCCACCAAAAAGAAAGAGCTGATAACCAGAGAAAAAGGAACCTGGATACTTTATTTTATCGAAGTGGTAGTAATTAGATTGTTCTCTTGACACTAAAAGGCACCACCTTATCCGTGGTCCAGTCTATCATATGTAAAAGCATGACTTTTGCTCTTTTGACACATTTTCCTAAATGTTTCTAGGCTTAGAGTTTATTTGAATGCTGGAACATGATATGATGGTCGTGAGTTGTGTGACAAGCATCACCTCCCTAATCTGAGAATGACAAAGTTTTGACTCTGAAAAAAGAGGCTCAAACAAAGATGTCTTCTTTTTGTTCTGGGGAGCTGGAAAGAGGTTCTGTTCCTCCTCCAGGCCATATTCCTTTCACTGTTCTTGGCAGTCCTGTTTCTACTTCTGTTTCCAACCCAGGGCCAAGATGTTCTTGTGACCGAGGGCACACTGGCTGAGTTGAAGTTTGGTGCCAAGAGAAGATCAGAGATGGAAGAGAGACCTCACACCTGATAACAAAAGGTCCAATCCAGTCACCTTTGTGTGGAGGCTGAGAAAATAATTCAGCATCTCTTCCCTCATTGTGAAATCACTTACATGTCTGGCAGAACTCCAAACCTGAAATAATAAAACTAGAACCACTTCTGGAAATCAAGAGCAAATCAGCAAATATTGAAAAATATGGAACCCATCTTTAAAAATCTCAAAGCCTTGCTTGCCATTTGTCTTTGCCTGGACATCCCAAATATTGGTTTAATTAAAATCAAAGCAAGATTTTATATATATATATGTATTAAAGTCACCTCTTTTTCTTAGAATCTACATATTACAATTATCCCTTAATAATAGTATAAATTTTCTGACTATTCAAACGTTATCTTGCCACTTGAAACTGAAAGTGTTTGTTTTTTTTTCCCCTCCCACAGAATTCTGATAAAACAATTTGTCTTAAAGACCCCTCCTTTTTTGTTTTTGGTCTGTGGTAACTAAGTTTATAATAAAAATAAGTCTGTGAAATATGAATCATATTCTGTAATCAGGAGGAAAAAAAGAAATCCTTAAGTTCTACCTAAATTGGACATTTTATGTATATTAAATTGAGATTTTTTTCCTATGTATGCTCTTCACTACATTTGGATTAAAAATTAAAATATTTTTCTACTTCCTTAATTTTTTTTTTTTAATTTCTCACAGGGTGCATTTGTTCACTATAGAGTCGGAGAGAGAGAGAGAGAGAAAGGGAAAGCAAAACACACTGTAATAGCTTTCCCTCCATTTGCCTATCTTGTTGGGATTTGGGGCATGTACACACAGGTGCCCAGAGTGTGTTTTCAAGCTGCTGGGGCCAGGATTTGAACTGCACAGTTGGCCATGTAGACTCCGGTTTCTTTAACCACTAGGCTACAAAGCCAGCCCTTGATTCACTTCTTTTATTTTTTTTTAAGAATTATTTATTTAATTTTATTTATTACTAGTATTACTATTTTTTAAAAATTTGATGAGAGAGAGAGAGAAAGCGAAAGGGAGAAATCAAGCCACCAGGTCCAGGACTCAAATTGCAGTCAGCCTTGTGGGAGTCTATCACCTTAACCACCATACACCTGCTGGCCCCATCTCCTGTTCTACTTCGAATTGATAGTTTGTTTGTTGTTTTACTTTTCCAGTTGGCAATAAAGGGAGGTATATATAGAAAAATTAATTCCATGTGCAGGATATCTGTTGAAAAATCCAGTCCAGGAATCTCTCACGTTTTCTTCAGGAGAGTTTCTTCGACTAAAGAATGATGGGAAGAAGAGGGGGAAAATGAAAGGCCCTCTCTTGCTGAAGATCATTTGCTAATTGCTTAGTAGAGAAAGTTTGAACTAGGTTTTTCACATTAACCTTTGGGCATTTTATCTTTGGGAGAGTTTAAATCCTGCAGTAACTTCATTGTATTTTTTACCATGAATCTAAGCCACTAATTGCCATCTGTTAACACATGCATTGGATATAAAATTAGGCCTTAATAGTGACTAAATAAACTATAATTGAAAGTGAATTCTAGGGGCCCAGGCAGGTGGAGTAGTAGTTAAAAGTCTAGATTCCATAGGGCCGACTGCAGTTCGAGTCTTGGACCTGGTGGCTTGCTTTCTCACTTTTTTTTCCTCTCTCTCTGGTCAAATAAAAAAAAAAAATAACAATAACAAATGGAATTAAATAAATAAATTTAAAAAAATGAATTCTAATGCAAGCAACTCATTAGATAA